GGCCACCTTAGGACATGTTACTATGGCTGATATTGTAAGAATGGGTAGGCGACATAGCAAAGGCTCACAAATGCCATTTGAAACATCTTATATCCCCCAAGATGCGGTTCTACCAAACTCAGCCATCTACCAAATGAAGCCTTCCGATGCTAATTCACCTTCACAACCAGGAACACACCAAGATTTGCAGTCTTCCGATTTGGATATGACTCTTGAATCTGGAAAGAAATCTAGTCAGAATGATTTTGATAATGAATGGCCCGTGGTTGAACCAGTAACAGCTTCTAGTGATATTGGTTCTACGATGTACTCAAATCAATCTTACTTATATAGTAACAGAGCTAACTTGTCTAATAACTACTGGTCAGACAATGTTCTAGTATCAGAGAGAGATGCTGCCAGGGAGAATCTTAGTTCTGATCATGCCAGCTCTGCTCAAGCAACTAGTAAGCAAATATTTATGAATGGTTCTGAAGTAACACCTAAACATGATGATGAGCTGTCTAAGAATAAGAATTCAAGTTCACCTGATTCTTATCGGCAAATCCATGAGCACCAGGAAGGTAAATTCTCACGTTCTATGCTTGACTTTGTAGGACTTTTTATTTCCTTATTTGATGTTTAATTAGACCAATGAGAGATTTTTGTAATATAAATTGTATGGGATACTATATAATAATCATGGATTCGGCTGATGCATATTTTGTTCTTTGAAGATTAATAGCTATTTAAAATGTCTATTGCAGTCTCAGGGAAAGTAAAGAATTTGGATCTCTTTACAAATTTCTCCAAGATTTTCTTTCGCTTTACATTGCAACAGTTATTATATATGCTATCATTTTATTCTTCATTTTTAGAATGTTCTCTAGGTCCGTTTTTAAATTTTTACTGCCTAGTAGAACATTGGTTGTATTTCCTGTCTCAAATTGAATATCCTCTTTTCTAATGGCAAAAGGTTTTAGGAATGGGTATATTTGTCCCTTACTTTACACATTTAACCCTTCAAGTATAATAAACGTTCGAGGGGTCCACTAAAAGTTAGTATTTTAATGAAGGGTAACATTGGGAGTCATATTTTTTCCCAATGTGGAGATTATTTTGAGACAACCCAAAAAGGAAAGGTGGACATTCAATTTGAGATGGAGTATTTTTTTTTTGTTTTTTTTTTGGGAAAATGATGAAATTTAGTTCTTTCTGATTAAAAGGAAAGAGCTTCGTTCTGACCAAAAAATGATTTTATATAGTTATATGCTGTTTGATGTAAAATAGCATTATGGTCCTTAGCCTGTAAATCCATATGTAGAATGTATGCGCTTGTTGTAGATACAGGACAAAGGAAGTGGTAAATTGTTAAGTACTGAAGTTACGTTCTTCTTTCATCCTTTGTACAAAAAAACCTACAACAGTAAACAGTTTGCTGTTTTATTTTTATCGTTTGTCTCTGATTTTTAAAGTACAGAAAAAGGGTTGTGCAGAGATGGTAAAAGAAGCTCCTAGTATTTGTTGTGTATTATATCCAGAGACCAAAAACTGGTATTGATAGTAGAACATTTCAAACTTGTTTATTCTGTTCTTCTTTGGGTGTGTTATTTGATTGGTTGATTGAGAAGTGGCCAAGGGAATTATAGTTCTTTTATACGTAGCTGTAGACTTTAATTTTCTCTAGCCTGAGAAATATAATTGCTTTTGAAAGTTGCCGCAGTCAGTGCAATTTAGGTGCACGAAATGCTTATGGGTGGTTGATTATACCATGTTTGTTCTATTCATGCTATGCAGCAAGAAATTTATGTTGAATATGTGTCGTGGTCTTTATATTTCATCCTTTGGTTTCCAATCTCAGGAATTGGTAGAGATTCTCATATATCTGTTCCAAATCCTACATCTTTGTCTGATGATGCCATCAAAGCTGTATCATCAGCTGCAGTGAACTTACAACAACTAAGTTTAGGGAAGGAGCAACCAGCAGCAACTCCAACAGAGGAGAACCCTGGACTGGTGCTTCCAAATGATTTGCAAGTCTTTTCTGCTGATTGCTCGCATTTGAGCTTTGGTACCTACAAATCTGGCAAGAGTACAGCATTGTCCCAGCCACAAGCATCCGGTTCCTTGACAAAAGAGTTGGAAGGGACCTTTACAGCTCGAAATGGTCCATCCTCTGTGCATTTAACCTCTAGGTATCCAGCTCTTTGCTTAGTTCCAGTTTTGGCCTCCTTGTTCATGGTAGTTCATGATATTTGGATGTCTTTCTTTGCAGGGACACAGTAAATCTTGATGAAGAGCAGCTTGAATTTGCTTTTGATAATCATAGAGCAACTGCAGCAGCCAAGTCTTCGCAAGCAGAGCTCAGGAAACTAGATATTCCTGATGCAGCAGCCCATGGGAATGATTATGTCTCCCATTCGTCTGTACCTGGTTCTAGTTTCAAGAACATCCAACAATTAAGTTTTGCATTTCCTTTTGTGAATGCCCCAACTGCTAGGAATGTTTCTTCTTTGCCAAGTGAAGTGGTAAACAGATTTTTCCCTCTCGTTGCATTTGTGACATGCGGGCAGCTCCTTCTCTCACTTTGCTGCTATGATAATTGTGGGCTTTGATGAAAAAGGGATATGTAATATTTGCTTGTGCATGCTGTTGTACAAAATAGGTTTTAGTAGTAGTTCATGAAGATGTAAAACTTGAGAGCTATTTTCTTTTCTGGATTAAAATGTTTGGAATACCTGATAATTCATTGTCATCAGCTACCTTGCTTAATTAATATTGGGCACCCGGTTAATACTCAGTATCTTTTTCTTTAATGGCTACTTCATTCCTACAATAGCTTTTACCCCTTGGTGTTTGTGTATGAAATATGGTGCTTATACTTGTATTTGCAATCACTTGTTTATTTATTTCTGATTTCAGTTTGTCTTGAACTTTGCACTGATATTGTGAATTTTGGGTACTAGCAATCATATTCGAACTCTATACCTAGCCAGTTATTGGCAGCAAGTATTCAGTCTTTAAAAGCAAGAGATTCTGCAGCATACCTTGCATCACAGTCAACTTCATCAAGGTACAGCGCTTCTACATCATCAATGAAGAACCCAACTATACCAATGTCTGAGGTATGAAATCAATAATCTATTCCCCTGGGTCGCTCAAAAATTTTCAAGTTAGGTAAAAGGGATTTTGGCAGTGACTATTGTTAAAAGGGCTTATCTTAGATTTTAATCATTTTGTGGCTTGTTTAAGTGGGTAGATGAAAGTAATTGGCTTTTATCTTGTTGTAGTGAAAGTACTAAATCTGAATACTAGGACTACAGCCATACAATGTTGGAATATTCCCGCCCTAGATTTTACTCTGTTGAGTTGATTTTCTTAAATGTAGGGAGAGGTATTGACTTAAAATCTTACAAATGAAGATATTTATACCTCTTATTGATCATATTATTTTTTTTTTGCATGATTTGCTGGATCTTTTAATGTAAATTGATGTCAAGTTTTGGGATGAATTAGTGGCTGTCTTTTTATTATTAGAAAGCCAATACACATCAAATTAATTTTGAATTGTGTGATGTCATTATATCAATGTGTGGTGAATCTGGCATTACATTCCTGTTAAACTAGGATTTGAGTGCCCTGTGCTGCTTAAATGGACTTAAGAAATTTAATTGTTTTAACTGGTCTGTTAATTCAGGTTTTAAATTCTGGAGCCTTCTCTGTTTTCGACCCATCCTTGCAGGCCCTGCATGGTGCCAACCTTGCTACTGGACCTGTACAAAAGGAGCATTTGTCAGCACATTCTTATTCTCAAACTGCCTACCCGGCCATACCTCAAGGCCATACATATACACCATCTGCTTTGCAACATGCATATCCAAATGGCAACGTGTTCCATGAATCTGTCGCAGGGATGAAGTACAATCTCCCACAGTACAGAAGTAATAGTATGAGCAGCTTGCCTTTGTCGGGTTCTTACACATCTGGTTATGAAAGTTTAGGGAATTCTACAAATATTCCTGGAAGTTTTCGTCACAATCAATCTGCTGGTCCAGCAGGCAGCAAAGTTGGCTATGATGACTTTTTACGCTCCCAGTACAGGGATGGAGGAGCTAATTTCAACTTACTTCAACAGGTAATAACAAGAAGCATATTTGATGATATGATGCGTGTACTTGAATGTTTATTGCATGGAAAATATAGCTGTTTTCATTCTCATCTTTTATATCTTCTGTGTTAACAGAATGATGGCTCTGCTGTATGGGATTATGTCCATGGTTCAAGAACTACATCAACTATTCCACATAGTGCTTATTACAGTTTACAAGGACAGAATCACCCACTTGCTGGATATCATCAGGGCCAGCGACATTCACAGCTTCATGGATTTTTGGGGTATCCTGGCGTTTATAATTCTCAAGCAGGGATCACAAGAGAACAGCAGCAGCAAAATCTTGGTGATGTGATTTTAAATGGTTCTCAAGGCCCATCATCTAAGCAACTACCCCAAAATTGGCAGCGCAGGTACTAACATCCTTTTGTTTTTCTTTTTGTTTTGCCTTGTTAGCAAGGCATCATAAGAGCGGCTGAGTAGGATGATATTACAGTTTAAGCAAAGATTTCAGTGTTTTTTTTATTCTTTTTTCCTTTTTTGAGTGTTTTGGCCATGTCCAACTGTACATACTTAAAAGAGAAGTTGACTGGCAATGCGCTCTGCCTCAACAGTGTATTCTATCTAATTTCGTGTTGGGGTATGATTGCTGTTTTTAGCAAGCTAGTGTGCTGATGTGATGTGTTTTTTAGACTGGGCGATTCATATATATAGGTCGTTTTTTACGAATGATCTTCTATTGGCAGCTCATGGATTAGTTGTTTGATTTGATTAGTTACATTTGTTCCCTTTTATATCCTAGGTGTTTTTATAGTATTTATTTTGGCGCAAGCAGAAGTTTTGATGTGGGTATCTGTTGGGAAAGGCAATTAACATGAGGGAAGGGGTCAGTTGGGGGTAGGCACTTAGAATACATGTAACTACTGTTAATTACAAGGTTGGTATCACTTAACCATCTCCTAACCTTCAATCATTCTTTCGGGTTCTCACAATAAAATTATTGATTGAAACCCACTACTTAAACGGACATTGGGGCACCAGTTTCTTCAAATCTCTATTGGATTAGGATTTTTAATGGGGGAAGGCACGGATTTGAGAGTAACCATGGATCAAAACCAAGAACAAGACAAGGGGAATCTCCATAGACCAGGCATTGATGCGATACTAATGGCCCCCAAAATGCCCAAGGCAGTGACCACGGCCTCTGCTGCTGAGGGTGAGAACATTAGGCGGCCTCGTGGGAGGCCAGCAGGCTCCAAAAACAAGCCGAAGCCGCCCATTATCGTTACTCGTGACAGTGCTAATGCGCTAAGAGCCCATGCAATGGAGGTGAGCTCAGGTTGTGATGTAAATGAGAGCTTAGCTAATTTTGCGAGGAGAAAGCAGCGTGGAATTTGCGTACTTAGCGGGAGCGGCTGTGTAACCAATGTTACACTCAGGCAACCGGCCTCCTCCGGTGCAATTGTTACTCTACATGGCCGGTATGAGATTCTCTCCTTGCTTGGATCAATCCTGCCCCCTCCAGCCCCACCCGGGATTACAGGGCTTACCATTTACCTGGCTGGGGCTCAGGGCCAGGTTGTGGGTGGAGGAGTAGTGGGTGCACTCATTGCTTCCGGTCCTGTTTTGGTCATGGCTGCATCCTTCATGAATGCCACCTTTGATCGTCTACCATTGGATGATGATGAAGTTGCGGCTGCTATGCCAAATCAATATCACCAGAATGCTCGGCACCATCACCTGGACATTTCTGATTTGTATGGGATGCCACAGAACTTGATCACCAATGGCACCACGCCTCCTGAGATATACTCTTGGGCACCGGGGCGAAACATGTCAAAAGCCTAGTCTAGCCTAACCTGATTAACAAGCAATTCTTTGGAGATTCTCACATCCTCCAAATATCATTATTTAGTGTTACCATTTTATTAAGCTTTTCTCCTTGCAGTATGTTCACATCCTCGGTTGCTGATCCATATGGAATCAGTGCTTCTTTTTTCTGTAGCGTCCATCAGCCAAGTACATCTTGTTTCAGTGAAATAGTGTGATTTTAAGTACATTGGATCCATAGTTACCGTGCAGTGCACATAAATGCCAGTGGACTTAAGATATATGCACAAATTATATTATTGCTACTTTTTAATCACAAATATAAGCACAATCCCAAAAGAAACATCATCAAATATGCATAAAAGGGCTCACTTTTGATTGGAATCAGCAATTTGTAATCCACACTATGGCGGCCAACAATGTAATTCTTAGTTCCAAGTTTCCTTCGATTGTAACATGAGTTTCAACTCATTCAGCACAGAGTATATCTCCTTTGCTTGAGGGTGCAGCCTTCCACCAGATACAAACTCATGAACTTCATCATTTACTTCAATCAGACTACACCCTAGTTCTTTCTGTAATTGCTTCTCTTTCATTGAAAGCCTTTGCTTGATTGCTTCCTCAAATTCCCTAGTTGCTGCATAAACGTTAGACATAAGTACATATCCAGAGCTTTCAGCTGGATCAAGTTCAATAACATGCTTTGCTGCCCTTTTTGCCATCCCAACCTTTCCATGCTTCCTGCAAGCTGAGAGCAAAGACCCCCATATAATGGCATCTTCATTAATGGGCATACTTCTTATCAGCTGTTCTGCCTCTTCAAGGAGTCCAGCATTTCCTAGCACATCAACCATGCAACTATAGTGCTTAATGCTTGGTTTGATTTTGTATTTCTCCATCATCAATGAGAAATAATATTTTGCTTTATCCACCATGCCTGCACTGTTACAGGCCATGAGGACACCAATGAAAGTGACATAGTCTGGTTTAAGACTCAAAGATTCTAGCTTAGAAAACAATTGAAGTGCTTCTTTTTCACATCCATTGGTAGCCAGGCCTAAGATCATGGAGTTCCAACATGATAACCCTTCCTTGGGAGATGCTCTAAAAACTTGTAGAGCCTTCTCAACATTGCCACACTTGCAATACATGTCTATGATTGCAGTAACCACAATGCCATTCAACTCAAAATTTTGCTTTATTATATAATCATGAATCCATTTTCCTTGTGTAATTGCTCCCAAGCAAGCACAAGCATTTAGCAAGCTGACCATTGTAAATTCACTAGGTCGAATATGCTCTTCTTGCATTTCTTGAAAAAGCTCCAATGCTTCCAAAAACCTACCATTCCTAACATAACCACTAATCATAGAATTCCATGAAACAGTGTTTCTTGACACCATTTTCTTGAACAGTCTTCTAGACTCATCAACCTCTCCACATTTGGCAAGCCCTATAATCATGGAATTCCATGCAACAATGTCAAGTTCCACATGTTCTTCATCAAACATTCGCCAAGCTTCACTCAGAAGACCACAATTCGCATACATATAAATGATAGTGTTTCGTATAAATTGATCATAATCAAGGCCCAGCTTTATAACTCTGCCGTGAAGCTGTCTTCCGTCACAGGCTAGACCAAGTTGAGCATAGGCCTTAAAGACTGAAGGATACGTCAGCCTTTCTGGTTGTATAGAGGAACCCACTAACATGTCAATGAAAAGAGAGATTGCAATTTGTGGATTAGAGCTTTGAGAGAAGCCTCTAATGATAGTATTCCAAGTGAAGAGATTTGGGTTTTTGATGTGTGTAAAAACCAAGTAAGCATAGTTCATGTCACCTGCGGAAGATGCACAGAAGGCCAGGACACGGCTAGCTGCTATGATGTCATTGACTAGACCAGTTTTGATGAGTTGGGCATGAAGCTTTTTGAGGTCTTTCATGGAAGTGCAGTTGTTTTCCAGCAGGGAGAGGTATGGCTGTTCTGATATAAATTTGGTTATGGAAGCTGGAGACGGTGCTAGGGAGCAAAAACATTGGAGCATCACTTCCTATGCTTCTGGTTTCTTTTATTATGTTATCCACTTCTGGCAGAGAGGGCAAGCAGTGGAGGTGACTCGGCCAGTTTAAATTACATAAATTTTATCATTAAATATGAATTTTTTTTCATATTATTTATTAATAAAAGAGCACTGTATGATTAATTGGGCTTGGATTAAAACAACGTGAGCCCAAAATCCTACCCCAAACAAAATTAGATGCAGCGAGAGCTGGAGAAAGCAAAGCAGCGTGTTGAAGTTGAAGGGAGGAGTAAGAACTAAAAAAGGCAAAGATGAGAGAGTGACAAGTTAGGGTAACAGCTGTCTTTTGTTTGCCTGTTTGTTGTCTTGTTTCCTTCGAGTGGATAAATCAGCCGGATTTTTGGGCTTTACTTCGCTCAATCTTGACTTGCACTTGAAATTTGTAGATTGTCTGTCTGGTTTTTTAAGATATCCTAAGAGACTTACCACAATAAAAGCCAAATGACTCTTTCCCAACTTATTTGAAAGACTTGCTCCTCTGCAGAATTTGGAACATTCACATTGTGAAATACCCACATTATCACATTATCACGTGAAGTTTGTAATACCAATCAAGTAAATTGGGAGATAAAGAGAGTTACGATCTCTTAAACATCTTTTGAATTATTTAAAAAAATTTAAACAATTTTTTTTAATTTTTATATTACTTTCAATTAAAATCTTATATTTTTTATTAATACCAATTAATCCACTATTAATCATAAAAAATTATTTTCTTAAATAATTCAAAAACCTTTTTAAAAATATTATACCAAGTTTTAAATAGTGATTTATCATTTTCTGTGCCAACAAATTTCTTTGACCCAACAATTAAAAACTCTTTGAAGATATCTATCCTTGGATTCCCTCAGCATGCTCCCTCCCCTGCTTTGGGGTATAAATTTTTATTGGAATGTTTGTTTATTGCAATTGGCAAAGAAATTCAAGCTCAAATAACGGTAAGTAAGACTTTTTGTTCCTCTTATATAAACCAAACCAAGAATCTTTTCCTTTCTTTTTTTTTTTTTCCCCTTGTAGCCCATTCCTACTAAAGCTTAACTGATAGTGGCTATGGGATTCAATATATTCAAAAGAAAATCCATAGCCCTCAACAAATGCTTAATTTAATCCCATTTCTGACTCATGTCTAACAAAGTTAAAGGCGATTTTGAGATGATGGACCAAAGATTCCAAGATCTGTCCACATAAAAAGTGTATTTTGAGATGGGTATTAGCCAATAATTAACATAACCACAATTATAGGTCTTGGCAAATTTTAATAATTTGTTGTCTCCATCAAACACATTCTTCATTTTCTTTCTTTTTTTT